CTTTATGAATGTCTACTGGAATACCGCGGTCGGTCTTTTGCGTCAGAGATTGCACCATATAGAATACTCTCACAGCTCATGCCGACCTTTAACTCTTTCAAGGGGGAGCTTAAGGAAGACATGGTAAACCTCGTGTGCAGAAATTATTAAAAGTCAAACAGTGGGATGATGCAACCTAACGTGATTACCGGAAACACAACGTGACAAATCACCTTCTCAGGGAGAAACGATTACATACTGGAGAAGTTCCCATGGGACTAACGTAGTACGCGCCACAACTCTTATTAAAATAAAACATTAAATTAGAAAAATAACCAAGTTCAAGCAATGACCCCAAAATCGACAAATACAGACCACCAATGTCTATCACATCCCATTGATCGTCCAATCACGTGACACAGCTGTTCATGGCAGACACTGACTAATACCCACCCTTCCAATCCGTTTAGTCCGTGCGCCAGCTTGACCTAGTTTTAGGTCATCGTTTAATCGATTGATGTACTCTCACGATCATTCATTAAATCGTTAACCCGATTCCGATCAGCACGCTCTCTTGTGTGTTCTGATTTCCTGTGTTGGGCTACGGGCCCTAGAAATACTATGCATAGCGTCGCGGTTGGAATTCGGTCTTCACAATATTGGCGACGGGAATAAAACCCAATCATGCTGCATTTACCTTTACCACTGGGGTGCTCGCCCGCGGAAAAACCATCACTTTCCACCTGGAATTGATGGAAAAGGACATTCATAGACTACTTCGAATTGAGACCTGTGCTCCATCCACAAACGGTGCTTACCAATTCACACAAAATCAAACTCTTTCGCCAATCCCTTGGTGACGACGGTCAGCGTCCTTTCAACGCATTACATATTGGTGACGATGCCACTTTGGATAAAGTATTTAATACATACAATAAACTGTGGGGCTTTCGACCCAGTACATACACTGCCAGATACTGTTTTGTCCGAATAAACCACCATTACCCATTGTAAGAAAACACAAAGTAGATACTGTTTTCTAAACTGCACCAAAACTCTGAAGGAACCGAAACCGAATTCATTGCAAAGATACAACAAACACTGCCGGACTGTCGGCATAATGAAATCCAAAGCAGCAAGGTAGAGGAAGAAACGGCGATTCAGTGCCTAATAACCGAAATACGGAGCCATCTAGCTCGCGAGAAATTACTATCAGAAGAAGAATCTAAACTCACTTGGGAAAAGGCATGAGCAATCGTCTGACATCAAGAGAACATCAACTATCAATTGACTTAGTTTTCCAAAAATTCAGACCCAGACAACGTGCAAGCAGTGACGCGAAAAACCACTTCACCCACAAAGCATTCAGTCAAGGATTTCGTATGTTACCGCTGCCGGAAATAAACATGTATCAGTGGACGATTGTCGATACATGCAAACAATTTGTCTCCACTGTGGAAAGATGGGGCATCTGGCACGTGTCTGCAGAGCAGCATCGTAGAGCTATCCGAACAGAAAGCCACTTGGGAAATCTTTTGCCGCTGTGCAGGAGGAAGTAGGCAATAATACGGGAAATGTATCCTCGTTTGACGAAATAAATACTGCCATGACATATGGTTACTCACGTGCACCGCCTTATTACATACAAGTCGAAATCGAAGGAGCGCCTGTTCAAATGGAAATTGATACCGGAGCATCCGTGTCGATAGTCAGCGCCAAGACTGTCAAGAATTTACCCCGATTGACTAGTTGCCAGTCCAGGTTGAGAACCTACACGTCAGACAATCCCGGTTCTGGGTAAATGTGAAGTGCATGTGCAGTTACATGGCGAGAAACGCGCACTCCCACGCTATGTTGTAGCAGATATATTTTCTAACTTATTTGGGCGGGATTGGATAAAGTTATTCCCAAATGCATTGGATATAGTGAAGCAGGTAGCCTCTAAATCAACCTTGGAAACAATACTATCTAAACACACTGGTGGACTTGATGGCAGCTTGGAAAAACTGAAATGATTCCAAGCAAATGTCAAACTTGACTTTGTGTTTACTTTGAGGCTTCCGAAGCGGGAAGCAAAAAGACTCCGTAGTCAATAACTTGGTCTGAGTTTTTCGCTTTTGGGGCTCAACCTCGGTTTTCAATTCTGGTTAGTGATACAGCATTTGTAGTGTCGTTGAGAACGGGATCGGATACCTTGTACGACGAATTTGTTCGGGGTAAGGTTTGGTTTGAAATAGTTGGGATGGGACTTTCAAGCGGCGAAATACGATTGAGAAATAATTTTCGACTTCAACGTTTTTTCCCTAACGGTAATAAGCATTCACAAGTTCCGTTTATATTGTCCCTTTTTTAGTAGTTAGAAAACAGGAGAAGTTAACATAGTAAGACCTCTGCAATACTAAAATTAAATAACAATAATAAGAATGAAGCGTTAGCGAACTTATTGTTGGTCTCGTTGCCTCCCAGTTAGTGTTACTAACTGATGTACTTTTCAAGCATGTTAGGCTGAAATAATCCCTTACGGTGGTACAATTCTATGCTGTTACAATGAAATGTTAACGAAATGTTACAAGTCACGAGATTGCCGAATCTCAATATCCTGTTTGGCTAAATCCCAAATGCAAATAAACAACACACTATTAGGAGGATAATCAGATTTGCTTGACACAAATCTGATTTACTTCGTTCTTGATGAAAGTAGCCACTGGTAGCCCTAGAATTTCTGCAGTTAATCGTAAGGATTTTCTCGCTAGTTAAGGTCAATCAGTCAGTAGGTCTTGTACGCCAATCATGGCCTGGCTCAATTGTATGGGGTTTCGACACGCTACCACTGCTTCTCGAGTGAACTTCAGTTCATTGAGAGTCTGATCGATCATTATCTGCTGATGCATCACAATGAGCCGAAGTTCGGAGCACACAGACTGTAAAATCTCATGTGGCTATTTAGTCCGCCCCCCGCCTTTCGCTTTCCCCTCCGGCTTCCTAACACTTCTTTCCAAAACCATGTATCATTCCCTCCCCGCTGTCACGCTCTATGCGTCCAGTCATGTGATATACTCCGAAACCAATTGGTTGAGATTGGACAGAACGTGATGCGAAGAAAAAAAAACGTTACCAACTCTCATATGTTGACGAGAATGCTCAGTGTGCAGCACCACTTCCTCTCTCTCGTCTGTAGTCGATGGACATAGTTGCACACTTAACGTGCCTTTTCTAAGCTGTCTCGTTTCGGTAAAGCACAAAGCAAAGAGCAGCTCTCCCTTTGTGATGACTCGAGCAGTAGGACGCGGCTGGCGTTCATGCCACTTTGTGTCTGGATTGATCATTCTACTGTTTGGCGGCACAATACTAACCATGCAGTTATTGTTTTGGCTTCGTTATCATGAAGACCTATTGTGGCGTTGGCCAGACAAAATGCGACTAACCGGTATCGCTTCCGCTACAGTCCTGTTTATTCCAGCAGTACTTGTGCTTACATCACTTTGCATCAATTCACGCAAACTGTTATACAGTACAATGATCTTTGGGGCGATCAGTGTTCTCTATTGCTTGTCCGTTGGTGTGAGTAACACAGTGGAATACGCGCTTGGTGACGCACATTATGCCAGTGTGATTTCTATGGGTTTTATCAATCTACTGGCCGGATCTTTTATGTGCATCTATCTCATTTTAAGAATAGCCAAACCGTGGTTTTGTGATTTGCTTTACGGGGGTGAGCAGACCAGTCCAGGAACGAATACGACAACTACGCAATCCTCAAATATTCTCCTTCAACCAAATAGAGTCCCATTGGACAGCTTGGATCTCCCACAGCAGAGTAGTGCCTCGATCGGTACCACCTCAACAACTATGTTCCATTCACAGCCAGCAGCCCCAATGAAACCACCGCCATATCAGCCATGAATATCATGTAAGAAACCCTGACAATTTTTTTCTTTTTGGAAACTGAACCACTCATTCTATAAGTGTTTTAAGTGTTTTTATCTGTCAATTTTCTTACTCTCACCACTAGTGGGATTTCAATGTGCAAATATCTTATTACCGGATACCAGTCAGTTAACTGCAGCATCGAATGACTCAGCCCGCTATCGGATCAAACAAAGCTGACGCTTCTTGACTAAGGGCTGCAATTATTTCTGCCTAGCTTTGTCAATTTTTGAACTGGAGCCCCAAACCTATCCACATCGGTATCTATTTGCCCTATGAATGTATTCTTTTCACAGATTTGTGCATTGCCAATTTTCATCGGTTCGATACAGTAAGTTTTCACCTTCATTCCGTCGCTTATGTTAATTTATCCTAGTTTCTGTCCTATTTTTGCAGTTGGTAAGTGGCTGGCCATAGGTTGATGAAAGCACAGAGGGATCTTTCATTCACTTCCCAAACAATAAAACAATTAATCAACGATGGTCATTTAGAAAAACATTTTCAGCCAATAGATCCATTTCATAATTGCTCAAATACACCAAACCATGATCAAAATGGGTGTTCAGTCAAGCAAGACAAAACATGTTTTACGGTTACGGTCCATCGGATTAACAATGCTCTGATTAATATCTACAAACAGGAACAAAGGGTTTCATGGGAATGTTAACTAAATAGTCCAATACTCCTAGTGTTTTGAAGCACAAATGCAACCTGTTGGGAAGTTGTGTGTTACCCTTCAAATCGCTGGCATCCCGCAGGAGAGGGAGGGGGACAAGGCAATAGCAGAAAACGTGGCTCTTTCAAAATGACACTCAGGTCCGAACGAACTGCTACTATTGGTTTGAAACAAGTTTGATTCGACGTGATTTTGCTTATCTTACAATGCAATTCAGTAACATATTTCGAAGCATAAAGTAGGAAAATAAGAACCATACCAATTGTTTTGACGATCTTGGTGTTATTACGGAGCTTAAACAATCCATCAGGTCGCACATGTCTCTGCTTCAAGCCATATGCACACTCGCGACGCTCCAGGCAAGTTGAGCTCGGATTGGGTGACTGCAAAACGAGCCATCCAGTATTCGTTCGGCCGATCAATCGAAATGTTAAGGTCGCAATCTGATTGGTGCATCACTGTGCCGTTCTCGTAAGCGTGATTTATTCTACATTTTTGCTTATAGAACCCTAATTAACTATACGCGCCGACTGTTGTCTCCAGTCCTGTTATTTCTCCGCGGTGTTGTTGGGGTTTAAGCAAGAGTCACCCGTGTCAATCGCATGTCTAGATCGATCATCACTTGGTCCCACAGTCGAAACATGCAACTTCTTTCCTAGAAGACGCAATAACTCAACGCATGCTATTCAGCCTTGAGATTATCATCCTCCATTTGCTTGCATCTCCCTAATTCTCAAACCTGGATAATCATTTTTGTATGAAATTAAAATGGGTGAACTCTTTAGTCAAACCGATCGTCATAAACCGTCGAAATCAGGCTGTTCAAATCAAAGCGGCATGTTTTCGGCTTCCGGTTGATGCCGTCTTCAACCTGTGGAAACTTGTTGTGTTACTCTCATCCCCACAAAACTCCCCCCACGCTATTCAGCTCATAGCAGTTCACACCACATCTCTTTCATTCTAGTTGATCAGTGCAGTGCCCCCCAAGTATTACTGTATTTGAACTGCTTTTCACTAAGCATCACAATGTGTTCGACTATTACTGGCCATATTTTTTGTCTCATCAGTTTGTAAGATATTTTCAGTTCTTTATTGATCGTTAGTTTATCGTTTAGTCTCTTGTTGCTTATCGCTGTCAGACGTAACTGTGTTGTATTCGTTCCGTTACTCTCACGATTTCCCTCCATTGGTAAATGAGCTATGCTTTCAAAGACCAGTGCTGGCTTGAGTGGAACTGGTTAGTACGAACCACAGTTAAGATATGGATAAATTAGCGTACATATAACTAGACGTTTCGTTTGAATCATTTCATCAAAATTCCCAACAGCATACAGGATCAGAAATGGAACAGTCCGTAGTTATCATTTCGCAACACAGTAGCCCACATTAGGAGGTCTTTTTCAGTTGGACCGTTGTGAGAAACCGCCAATCATATTCCTTTGCTCAATTCAACCATACTATTCACAACTGCGATTTTCAATTCACAAAAATCCGCCCCTCAGATAAAACGATCTCTGCATGCCTCGAACAATATTCGATTTCTCCTCGGATTGTGAAGGTGTCTTTCTCCATTTTTCAACGTCAGGCAGCGTTGTGCTTGTGTTTGTGTAGTAGGATTCTGGTGATTCTTTCTTCTTTTAAATAGTGTGCTGGTCGTTTCCTGGTGCCATGTTGCGAGATCATTTCGATGTACACGACTGACTCCGTTCATCCGTTGTATTTGTTACATGTAAAGCCTTTTTTAACTATGCAGTACGGACCTTTCCATCTGGGAAGTAACTTCCTCGAGCCAGGGCCACTGGCGAATCCCCCAATATACCGCTTTAACTTTACTTTAGATCCAACCGGTGGCACGCTGGCCTTCCGTCTAGCTTGTATCCTGGACTTGCGAATTGTACTAAATATGCACCATCTCAACTGATGTGTGGAAGAATTCCATTGCTTCCAGTAGATCTCGACGTTGGAATTTGGTCACGAAATTAGTTATCTCCTCAACAACTTCAACAGACGAGATGTGAAGCTCGGGAATGCCTGAAGAATGTACTATCCTGTACCTTCGTCAGGCATTCCCGAGCTTCACATCTCGTCTGTTGAAGTTGTTGAGGAGAT